GGCCTGTCCACACCGTGCCCCCACACACACACGCAGTCCATGGTGAGGAAGCATCAGACGGACGCCCCACCAAGGGGCAATGTCCAAGTTCCTCTACAGCAGTGGTTCTCAACCTGTGGGTTGTGACCCCTTTGGGGGTTGAGTGACCCTATCACAGGGGTCGCCCGATTCACAACAGCCGCAAAATGACAGTGATGAAGTAGCAACGGAAATAATTTTATGGAAAAAAAAAGAAAATGATTTTATGGTTGGGGGGGTCACCACAACACGAGGAACTGTCTGAGAGGGTCCCGGCGTTAGGAGGGTTGAGACCACTGCTCTGTGACGTCAAGGGGACCGAGGGGAGAAACGGCACCGCGGGCAAGGCCAGAGCCAGGCAGGACCCGGGGCTGGGCGCTGAGGACATTAGTAGGGAAGCAGACCACGCCCCACGGGGCCTCAGTCTGGACCGTGGGTGCATCAGGGACGGCTTCCCGGGTCTGGGCACCGTTCCCCAGGAGCCCGGTGGTGGCTGACTTAGTCGCTGGGAGTCGGCTGTTGGAGGTTGGAGCTCGCCTGCCATTCTGCCGGGGTGCAGCCTCTGCCTCCCTGCGGACAGGGAGGGCCGGTGTGGGTGGAGAGGCCCACGACGGGGGGTGGGGGGGTTAGGTGGTGACACTTGACCGGAGTAGAAAGCCCACCTTTCTCCCAAGGAGCACCGGGGTCTGCACCTTGGGCCTTGGGGGCCATGCAGCCCAACATGCATGTAACCGCGACACTCCAGGCCCTCCCCCTCCCCCCCCCAGAACGGCTTAGTTTAAATCAGAAAGCCAGGCCAAAGGAAGCAAGCTACAGTTGACCTGGGGATCCCCAGAAGCCTGGTAGTCTCCCTCCAGAGTGTCTGTGGTAGGGCAGGGTCTCAGGCCTGGCTCCGTGTTGGGGGCCCAGGGCCAGGGGAACGTTTGCAGAACAGAACCTGCCGAGAGCCCAGCACCGCTCACGGTTGCACTTCCAAAGAGGTCTGTCTGTCCCCAGCACCGGCAGGGCTGCTCCAGGAACTCTGGGCCGTTGGGGGCGGCCGGCAGTCTGTGTGGGGTCCTGGGTGTCCCCTGTGCCCCCGAGCTGCAGAGCTCGCCTTTGCCAGGGTGGGTTCCTGCCACGGACGAGGGCCGAGGGCTGGGGTTGTGTCTGTAGGCCTGGGGCCTCCTGGGCTGGGGGATGTTTCTGGCCCTGCCCCCTGGCCTCCTCTCACTGAGCCTGCCTCCCCAGGCCTGCTGCCTCGGCACACAGGACCCCCAGTCCCACCTCTGCCCCTGGGGGTGCAAATTAGCCCCCTGAGATAGCTGCCCTTTTCCTGTGTGCAAGGCAGCCACTCCAGCTTGCGTGTGGAAACTTGCCGTCAGATCCCACAGCTGTGTGAGAAGACAGGTGGCCAGGAACAGATTGGGGGTCGGCAGTGACGGCAGGTGGGGGTGGAGACACGCCTCAGCCTTTGCATTCCTGCGAGCAGCACTGTGGTCAGGGTGGGAGGGCACCTGTGGCCAGGCGGCGCTGGGGAGAGGTGCAGGTGGGGGTGTCACGGTGCACGCGTTCCTCCACGTCACAGTCCTCCCCCTGGTGCCGGCCCGGGCTGGGGGGTGCTGTGACCCACAGCAGTGCGGCACATGCTTCGGCTCAGAGGGCCATCGGAAGCTGCTGTGTTACCTGAGCGGGCACAGATGCCCCAGCCCCATGTCACTCCTGGCACCAGGAGGCCTGGCCACCGTGCCCTTGCTTGGTCATGGCCTCAACACCAGGTGCCTCTGTGCTCACAATGGGACTGGCGCGGAAGAACAACGAGATGCACTTAAGAAGGGCCCATGGGTGCCATGGGTGGGAAAGCTAGTTCCCTGGACAAATGCCCCCGAGGACCCTACCGCGGTCAAGCCTCCTGTCTACAGAGGCCGCTCTCCTGCTCGGGGCACGGAAGCCCCCGCCTTGTGTCCTGGGCTGAGAATGTTCAGGGATCCTGGGCCCAAAGGGTGAACCCCATCCCTGGCTTCTCTCCTGCTGGGGCATCCCTTCTGCGTCCGAGGTGCCCGTTTTAAACCTGGCGAGATGGTGAAACTGACCAACCACAGGTGAGAGTTCTGCACCCTATTTGCATGGTCCCCCCCAAAGGACAACCAGCACCTCATTTTACATCGTCAGCAAGCCATCTGCCCCCTCTGATGGGCCCACAGACACCTCATATTCCTATCACCCAGCCTAGTCATCTGGGGGGAGGGGGCGAGGCTACAGAGACTGGCTCAGTGTAGTGTTTCGTCCTTTGGAGACAGAGTGACCACGCTGTGTCAGCTAGGGGACGGGTGCGGAGCGGACTGGCCATCAGGGTCTGTGCTGGGAGGATGCCGAGCAAGGCCAGCTCCGGACCCTGCTGGCCGACACGTGAGCCCATGGACCTGTTCTGGGAGCTTTCACCCATGGAGGAGTGATAACGCCCGGAGCTGGCCGGGCAGATGACCTGATTCCAGGTTGGCAACTAAGAGGAGGCATGGTCACAGTGCGCAGTGGTAATGCTTGACCGATGTGCCACCCAGCGTGGGGCTCTGTGGCAGCAGCTCACACCTTCCAGGGAAGCCCCGCCACCCCTGCCTGCCGGCTGCGTGTGCACACACCTTGCTCACGGCCGTCAAGGGATGGCTGCCAGGGTTTGTGTATTCCCAGCTGTTCGCTGCTTGCCCAGAGAAGCGACAGAGGGCTGTGTGGTTTCAAACTGCTGACCACCCAGCTCGCAGCCCGTCGGGTGACCACTGCACCAGCAGGTCTCTGGGACACAGAGGTCTGCAGGGGGGTCTGTTTGCCTGTTCCCCGCCGGCCTTGGTTGGTGGCTTGGTGCTCGTTGGCTTTGTGCTGGGGTGGGTGGGGGGGCTGTGGTCTCATCTGGTCCCATGGAAGTGAGGCCGCCCCAGTAGTGCTCCCCCACCCCGTCATCTCAGCTTTAGTGGGTCTGTGCCGCTCCCCCCAAGTCTCTGCCCTGTTTCTCCAGCGGCTCAGGACGCCTGCTGTGTTTGGGGACCAGGACCCCATAAGGGCTGGCTGCCTTTCTGTGCCCGCGCTCCTGCAGAGAGGACCTTTGGTCTCCCGGTCTTCCTTGCGACGGCCCGTGTGTTCTGGGAGAAGAACCTGGCCCTCTCTCACCCAGTCACTCGCCTCTCAGACCCGTTTCGGCAGCATGTGGTGGCCCTGTGCCCCCGCCCCGTGCTGTGCTCAGACCCCGCTCTCTTGGGAGCTGCTGCCCCCGATTGTCAGCCCACGGCGTCCTCCTCGGCCTCGGCGTCCCCTCCAGAAGCTTGCTTCTCTGAGGTTGGCTGCCCTCTCGGCTGGGTGCGGTCGACCCTTCCCAACCTCCCGCATGCTCGGTGAAACCCCTGCGCCTCTACCCTGAAAAGGTGAGGCCCCCACGTCAGCTCCCCGTCACCGGGAGGGCCTGCCAGCCATGCCGCGCTCAGTGAAGCCGAGTGTCGTCTGAGTAGCTGAGTATTGAGCCACAGATGCAGAAGCTCCTGCTGTTTGCCAAGGGCTGAGCACGGACTGGCAGCAAAGGGAGTGGCCTCCAGACTGGCCGGACATGGGCCATCAGTGAGCCTGTGGGGGCTGAGTGAGCAGAGAGCCATCCATTGGGAGGGAGGTGGGTGCTTTGCTCCCCCCTGACGCTCCAACATTTCTACTCTGGCAGAGGGGAAGTGTTCTCTTAGGGCCATCCATGCAAACACAGGGCTGCCGGAGAAGCCGACGTGGACCACTAGGGCCCCCAAGGACAGCACAGAACTGCCCGGAGGGCTTCCAAACTGGGTTTCTGCTCCTACCACCCCCAGAGCGGCTAGTGGTGTCCCACCGCTGACCTTGGGGCCGCAGCCCAGCACATAACCACTGTGCCACAGCCGTCAGCGGGTGGAGCGTCAGACCGTGGTGGGAAACAATCAAAAGGGAAGAGTTTTTCCAGTAACTTTTCCGAGTCCCCTGTCTGCCTGTAGAGCGTTGATCTTGGTGGCGATGATTTTTCTGACAGACGGAGAGCTGCCACTAGGCCAGCCCGTTGTGCCCTCGGTGCTGCAGGGACGAATGCTGTGTGTCCCCGTGGGCATGCGTGGGCCAGCTCATGTGAGGCCGTGGCTCCTTTTGCGTGACCGCTTTGCTTATCTCGGCCGTATTTGCCCTGCGCCCACCACTCCCTCACTCTCAGGCAAAGGCCACATCCCAGGGGCCGGAATGCAGGGAGCGGGGCTGCAGCAGGAACGGGACAATTTAGTGGCAGCTGAGGGAGTGGTTCTTTGAGGTCTCAAGTGTTTGTGGGGGGCCTCGATGCAGCTGTAGCAGGTACCCCCTCCGAGGCTGCCAGGGGTGGCAAGAACTCTGTGTGCTGATGCAGGGAGGGCAGCCTAGTCACCTCTCGGAGCCTCTGTTTTCCCATCAGAAAAATAAGGTGGGTAAAGCTGGCGGCTGCAGAGAGCCGTGGGACATGGCTTAACAGGGTGGCGTGTAGAACCCTGGCACACAGTACGGCAGCAGTCACGCAGGCGTGCTGGGCTGGTGGGGCTTAACCGGGGTGGCGTGTAGAACCCTGGCACACAGTACGGCAGCAGTCACGCAGGCGTGCTGGGCTGGTGGGGCAGGACCGGGGTGGCGTGTAGAACCCTGGCACACAGTACGGCAGCAGTCACGCAGGCGTGCTGGGCTGGTGGGGCAGGGCCGCGCCGTCCGCCCCAGAGAGTGGGTAAAGTGACCCAGGCTTAGTGGTGTGGCCACAGTGGGCCTCTGGGCTGGGGCCGGGTGCCCTCGGACACACACATACCCCGTGAGTGCTCCGGAGGGTGGGCATAGGAGGAGGGGCAGCAGGGCCCTGCAGTCCCCACTCCAGACCATCAGCTTGGTGCTGACTCCGAGGGAGGGTTTCCGTTGCCAAGGCCCCTGCTGCTCAGCCCGCCTTGGGCCACCACCCTCTGTGCCCCAGGGCCCTCAGGGTTCCCCTCCCCCCCCAGGCAGCGGCAGCACCGTCTGGCCCCTCCAAGGGGTGCTGTCGGCCCCCCTCCAGTGCCTTTCCTGGGGGAGCCGAGAGGGTGTGGGGCGGCGGAGCGGAGGGCATCTTTAGGAGCAGTAAGCACAGGTCTGAAAACGCTTCTCAAGAAAGGGCAGCGATGGGGTCACCGCGGAGGAAGCCTCGGCGCCCTCCCCAGACCGGGGTCAACTGTGGATTGCGACCCCTGCAGAGGGAGGGGGCCTTGGGCAGGAACTCGAGCCCTCCTGATCCTGGACTTCTGGTGGGAGGTGGGGGCCGCCCCATAGACTCTCTTGCCAATGGTCTGGCTGGGACATTCACAGAAAAGGCTGAGTGGGGTCGGAGTGGCCCCAGTTGGCCCACAGCTAACAGTGCTTGGAGAGGCTGTAGCATAGTGGGCGGGGCGGGGTGGGGAAGCTGGAGTAACCCCGAGAGGGGCTTTCCAGGTGGGCCTTCAGTGCCCCTGAGCTTCCTGAGACGTCAGCTGGGGCGCCTTGCTCAGCCCTCTCAGGCCCTGGGTCCACCCCTAGGCCTCAGTGTGGAAGCTTGGATGAGGGGCTGGGCGGGCACCCTGCCGTCTCCCTGGCCTTGGGAGCCCGGCCTCTGGCTGGCGGCTGGTCTTCCGTTCTGTTCTGGGAGGGCTGTACCTCCCTCTCTGTCTCTCCTGCCGCTCAGAACGAGAGCCCAGCGTCCCCGCTATCTCCTCACAGCTGCCCGATGAGGACTTTGCCGTTCCGGCCGGCCCAGGCAGGAGCCAGGAGTCGCTGCCCAGCCAGTCCCTGGAGCCTGTCGACCCGACACCGACACTGACCAGCACGTTGGGCCACATCGTGGGCCAGCTGGACGTCCTCACACAGGTAGGCCACCTCAGGGCCCCGGTGACCACGTCTGCGGGGTGTGGGCTCGTTGGAAGCTTGCCAGCAGGTGCGGGTGTTTTAGGAAGCATTGTGGTGATAGCCCTCACGTCCAGCCGAGTGACTGAGACAGCAGGCTGGTGCCAGCTGGACCTTGCGGAGCCGAGGACACCGCAGTTGGGCGCTCGTTGCTGACCCGAAGTTGTGCGTCCCAGCCCACTCTCCATGGGAGGAAAGCTTGTGGAGTGGGACCCCCGGGCAGGTCTCACCCTGGGTGGGCGAGCGTCCGCCTGCCCGCCCACCTGCCTGCTGCTCGGGGACACGTGAAGCCCAGCGCAGCCGCAGGGGGGCAGGCAGGGTGTCAACGCTACAGAAGGCCAAGGGGCCTTCGCCACAGTGGGCCTCAAACCACCTGGGGCCTCTCAGGCCCCTTCTCCCCTGGCCCTTCACTGCCCAGCACAGGACTGTGGGAGTGGCAGGTAGCACAGCAAGGGACAGTGGCCCCCGGTCCATGCACAGGACACCAAGGGCCTTTGGAGCTCTAGCCAAGACAGCTGAGAGGTGGCACCTTTGCCCACTGCGAGAGGACCGTGTCCCACCCACCGCCCACTGCCCTCCTTGAGTGGCCTTGCCTGCAGGGGGCCCAGGCGGGGCTGCGCACACTGGACCCTGAGGGGAAATGTGCTTGAGGGGGGACAGTGAGGGGGTTGGGCCTAGGGGAGCTGGGGGAGGGGTGCTGAGGGCGGGTGAAGGAGAAGGACCAGGAGACTGTGCAGAGGCTGTAAGAACACAAAGCCAAACCAGCCCTGCCCAGCCCTCCTTGGGCTCAGCTCTTCCTCGCAGGCTTGTCGGGGCGTGTGGAGTCAGGTTGGGGGTCACAGGGTAACCCTGGGAGTGACGTAAACATAGCTTCGGGGGTCTCTGGGGAGGCCCACACTGAGAGCAGCTCCCGCCGAGGGGCTGAGAGGCACGTGTGAACAGTCCTGTTAGGTGCGAGCCCGTGGGTGCGGTGGGCGGGTGACAGTGACTTTCTCTGGGTGGCTGTGGGCTGGCCCGAGTGTCTCTGGCACCCTCTTGCCACCCAGCCCCTTTGCTGTCCGAACAGCAGCTGGCCCACCCGGGTGCCAGGCTCCCCAGCCAGGGCGCTGCTGTGTAGCCCCGAGGGCCCCTGGGTGCCACCCTTCGGGAGCGTAGACGGCACCCGCCTGGGGCCTTGACGTGCACCCCTCCCTTGGCGCCGCCACTCCCAGATGTGCTGGACTCAGCGTGGTGGTCCTTCCCCTCTGCGTGCTGGGGCTCTGGCCCTGGGCTGCCCGCCACAGCCAGGCTGCCCTCACCAGGCAGGCCTTCCTCAACCCTTCTGGAGAGTGGCCACAGCAGCCCCCTGCCCGGATGCTAAGGCTGACCTAGCCCTCTGCCCCAGCCCCGGGGCCTGGCAACAGGCCTGCTGGGCGGGCGGCTGCTCTCAGGGCCTGCCGTGGCCTGTGGGCAGGCACTGCCCCAGGTGCCACCCCCTTGGCGGTCATTCTTCCCCTGCCGTCCCTGGAGTCCCTCTGTGCTCCCTGGCTGCCGAGCCACTCAGGCCTTCTGCACTGCGCCCGCCATCCAGGGGCACCTCAGAGCGACCTCCATCCACAGCACGTCCTTCCTTACATGAAGCTGTGCCAGGGATGTTGGCGGCACCAGGCGGAGCTGGGGACGACGGAGCCTCTAGCTCTTGGGTGCCATGAGCAGGGCACCCCGTTCCAAAGGTTGGCAGTCCTTGGAGCCTACCTCCCTGCCCAACAGCATGGTGCCCCCAAACTGGGCGAGGCCTCCCCCGTGGATGTCTGTGGCCCAAGAGGGGTGTGGTGGCCTTAGTACCCACGTCACAGGCCCCTGTGAGCATCCAGCTGCGTCACCTGCCCTGACACGCCCTTGTTAGTTGCCCAGGCTGGGCTGGACCAGGGTACAGGTCTTCGAGAAAGCACCTCATGTAAGCCAGACACCCCACCCCCTGCACAGTGATTCTCTGAGCAAGCACCTCAACTGAGCAGGGCAGAGCTGGGGCTGAGCTCGTGCTGAGGGCGCCCAGGCTTCCACCACAGCTCCTACGTTGTCCCGGCTTTGCTGCTATCTCAGAGGCAGACTTTGGCCCAGGAGGCAGCAAGGGAGTGGACACACATGTGCACCTGCCAGGTCCCTGGCCTCTCGAGCAGGTGGGCAGGAGGCTCCTCCCAGGCCAGGGCTTCCCGACGAAGAGGAAGGTTGCTGCGGACCTGAAACCCAGGCAGCGGGGCTCCAGCCTGTGTAGAAGCACCTGCTCTAGGGGAGGGCAGCCCTCTAGGGGGCACTCACGTGGAGCAGAGTCTGCAGGTGAGCCTGAGGGGCACTAGGTGCCGTCAGGAGCAGGTGCAGTCCCCAGCCGCCAGGCCGCCCCCAGCGGTGTTGCTGTGGACGGAAAGTCCTGCGAGGGCGGGGGCACAGTGTCCTGGTGCTGACAGCCTCCTGGCTCTCCGAGTCCCCTTCCGCAGTATCCCCTATCCTCCTTCCTGACACCCAGACTCACCAGAGCCACTCAGCCCAGGGCTCCTTCAGACACCAGGAGAACCTGATCACATGCCCGGTGGTGTGTCAGCGTCCCTCGCTGAACCATTTGCACCAGGTTGGGGTTGGCATCCTTGGTTGGTGGCTTCTGTGAACCACACTGCCCTTCCCGTGTAGGGTAGATGAGACACAGAGCCCAGGGGCAGGCCCCCTTTGCCCTGGCCGTTTGGGTGGGAGAGGCCACGTCCTTCCCTTGGGACCCCTAGTCTCGGCCAGGCCCCGGGTCCCAAGCACTGTTTATCATCTCACTCATCCCCACAGGGCTGTGGGGGGCAGAGGCTGTCCTTCGACCACACAGCTGTTCTGCCCAGCCCCTCCCGAGTGTCCTCCCAGCAGAGCAAACCGCGGGTGTGCTTTCCCACTCAGAGTGGCCGGTTCAGCCCACTCCTGATGAGGAGGCCCATCTCCAGCCCTCTGTTCCCTGGCAGACAACCTCCCACCTTCCCAGGGTCATGCCCCGTGTGCCCCACGTTCTGCTCACTGACGGCTGCTGTCAGCTGCTTGTGTTGTCCGTCCGTGTTACGCAGGCTGACGCAGCTTCTTTCCCGGGTGTATGTTGGGTGCCTTCCAATCTGAGGGTCCCCTCTTCTGGTCTGCACCTGACAATGTTTAGAGGGTTTCGCTGGCCAGTTCTCGTGGAAGTAGGTCACTAGTCCCTCTTACCCTGGAAGCGCGGCTGTGACCTGCCAGCTGCAGGCGGCCCTGCTGGTGCGTGCCGCGCCTCGCATCCTGGCCACACCAGAGCCACCACGGTCTGCAGACAGCGTCAGCGACAGGGGAAGGTCCTTCCTCCGCCTGGGGGGCCACTGCACCTTCCAGGGGCACTGACGGAGGGTCACGGGTGATTGGAACAGGAACGCTGGGACAGAGGAGGAGAATCAGGAGTTGGATGACATGGCCCGGGCCATGGCCAGAGATCTCAGGATAGACCTTTGTAAGACCAATGACCTTTCTTTAAGCATAAACAGGACCTACACATGCGGACCTCACCTGATGGGAGACACCGTAATCAAATTGACTATAGTCTGGGTGACTGGAGAAACAAATCCAGAGGCGCTCAGCTGTGTGAGAGGGTTTTATATCAAAGAGCAGCTGTATGTACATCCAGATCAAGTCCATAAATCCAACGTTAGCCCTTATGTCCTCTTCAGACTCATACAGCCATGCAATGACGCTGAGTGCAGGAAGATTGCAGGCCAGTGGGTGGAAAGTCTTGTGGATCCAGTGGTGGTGGAAGCCTCTCAGCGCTGGCGTGGGTCTCCACGTGGCACCTCTCGCTCCAGGGCCCTGGCTCCGTCAGCGTAGCTCTGTGGGGCTCTTCCACAGGAATGTCTCACAGGGGGAGTGTGAGGTCCTGCCTCCAGGAAGGAAGACAGGAGTTTCCGGAATCCTCAGGAGAAGGCCACGCCCACACAGGCTTTCTGGGCTCCTCGTGGACAGAGCAGACCCCACCCCTGCGCTTGAGCCCGGCCATGGCATTCTCAGCTCTGAGTTCAACGCGTGTCCTGTGGCCGTGTTACCCGGAGGGACCAGCTCCTGGAGAAGGGCGTCCTGCCCGCTGTCCCGTTCGCCCTCTCACAGAACACCGCCAGTGCACCCTTGTCCTGTCACCGCCGTGCTGGAGGCCACACGACTGGACCCTCGGAGGGGAGGCTTTTGTTCCCCGTGGGTGTCCAGCGGAGGAGGGAGGTTCGCCTCCTTCCTCGTGTCTGCAGGCTCCGCACGCCTTGCCCCCTTCCCTGTGTCTTGGCACCCCTCTCCCCCAGATTGGGAAGGCTCCCGGGTCCAAAGGATGCACCCTCCTCCCACCCCTTCCTTCTTGAAGGTGGTGTGCGGCTCCCGGAGGCCGTGGGAGCACCCCTTATTTCTCCAGCCTCGTGAGATCATCCAGGGGGCGCGGGCCACACCATGGGCCCCCTGACTCGGGGTTGGGGCTCTGGTGGGATTGGGGTGCCGCACACCAGCCTTAATCAGGTCATTATGTACCCACCAACCCCTCGGGGCCGCACCCCAGCCCAGGCAGCCTACACTTGAGGGGTGGGGTACAGTCAGGGGCAGGCGAAGAAAGAGGAAGATGCAGCTTGGGGCGGGTGACACTTGGCTGCCACGTGGGCTCTGACCAGCACTCGGGAGGTTGGTGCAGAGCAGGTCCTGCCCTGTTCTCCTGCATGGGGTCGCTTTGGGTCAGAACGGCCCAGTGAGCCCCCTGCCCTGTGCCCAAGGGCGTTCATTGCCCGGCGACCTCCCCAGGGGCTCCCTGCCCTCCCTAGTAGACAGCAGTCAGCAGGGCTGGTTCGTCCCTCTGGGAGGCGCCGTGTCACCCCGACGCCATGGGCACAAAGCCCTCTGTAACAGTGTGCAGACCAGGTGAAAACAGACACCGGCCAGTGCTGCGGGGCAGTGTGGGAGGTGGGAGG